AGATCATTTAAAGGCAGTGAGAGAATCAGCACACGCCTTCAAATCTAATGGTAAGAGAGCATCCGGACGAAAAGCTTTGTTTGTCTGTAACCTTTTAAGTTATTTGCGGAATTTGATTTGATCGCAGGGCGCAGCTGGATTCCAGTTAATGAAGGAGGGAAAAGGAAGTTGAGCTTGATGTGGCAGAAGTAAACAGAATTCAATTTATCCACATCCACTTCGCCACTCTGGCTGAAAACGCTCTTACCACAGAACTGACTCGAAAGCCTCCATAGATCGCGACAGTTATGATTGCCTAGAATTGCTTCGACGTATAAGTAGGTTAGCCATTTATCTCGGATTTACCCGTTGTGATTAGGCGTTGGAAACAAGTAGCATGCGGCACATGTAAGTCCATTCCTTCTTCCTTAGAAGCCGCTTTAAACAAATAAATAAAAATTTTATTCTCGAATTCATCGACTGATACAAACCTATATGTTCACAGACAGATAGTTTCAACAGGGTAACACATGTCAATGCATTGTTCGATATAGTCCGTAAGATGGTCACATTTAACCGACAGGTTCTGCTTATTAAAGACCGAAAAATTAATTAAAGGAACCAGCGTCTGGAGCCTGGTACTATTTTCTAAGAAGCGATTTCGGTGTTTGATAATCTTGTAAGGACGTCTAGTCAGCGTTAAAACATTAGACCTGTTGTATCTGACTGGGCACAGACTTAAAATACAACGGTCTGAGTTGCTCAAAGAAGAACGTTTTTGTATGGAAAATAACCGTCCTTTATTTGTGTGCACAGCTTTCAACTGAGCGTCTTGTTCATCATGTGAACGAAAGGGTCTGATTAGATTTTACCCGAAAAAGATTATTCACCGATTATTCGATTTCTGGTTTTGAGTATAAAATTTGAAATGGGAATATTTCGTCTGCTGTAACTTAGCATACCCGGTGGTTCTCTCAGTTTCTACTATAATAACATGCGGGTAAGTAGCAGGAACGACTTGACTACTGCATCTTTTTTAAATGAGCTGGAAGCTAAATACCCATTTTCGCCACCGTCACGGTGGTTTCTCATCGGTTACGGATCACAGATTGCGTTTGAATGAAAGAAGCTGGGCAGTCGTTATAGTGTAACAAACCTAGCCGTTTCTAACGTTTTTACATTATAACTTTGTTTGGCATAATGACACAGGCAAAGAAGAAATTTTCCTTTGTACTTCGAGGGTAACTAGCACCGAACATTTGTGTATTGGCCTATTCAAGTGTAACTTCCATAGACGCTTCAGTATAGGGAACCATTCACATGTCTGTCTAGTAGTTTGTCCAGGAAAGCTAGCATTCCCTGGTTTCCGACTTAATTGTGTTAGTTATTGTACAGCTCCACCAAAAAAGCGACATCAGTTTTTGTATCCAAAATTATAAGGTACCACCATTTAACTGACGAGACAATTTGTCAGAGAAGCCCGTTTTTAATTTTGGCAAAAGAAATATCAGCAAGGAACGGACCTTATTGTGACTCCATCTACCTGTCTATAATGCAATCCCTCAAACAAAATCTCCCTGTCGAAGGTGCATCGCCAAAACAGTTCCTAATTCACATACTGGGACACTAATATCTATACGGTTTTCTGTCAGATGAAGTTGGTATTTTCTAGAAACGGAACCTTTGTGACCTTGATATCTACAACTCTTCTCCGCACCCATCACCACAGAGTGTTCAGCGAAGCCTCAGCTGACACAACTTTCAAAGACATTGGAACAAACAGTTCCATTCTTCTCTGTGAGGAATCGAGACGTGCATTTTACACGCACAACACCTACCTAAAAATCCAACAATTAGTTCTCCCCAGCAGTGATGTATTTATCAGTGGCTTATTGGTGTAGTGAAGATGAACTTTGTAGGTAAAATCTAAATTCTGGGCTGATGTCCTGTCTATCGCTACCTGAAGGGTCCAAATAAGAAGCAAACACAAGGCGACCTATCGGAAGAGTAACGTCTACCATTTTCTGCTTTGAACTGGCTTCCAAATATATAAATGGCCAGTGCTTACACTGAAGTAAAGGATAACCCAGTTCGAGATTGCTAACTGCAATCCATTCATGCACAGAGTATTCCAAATAGTCAAAATACGACCGAATTCTCATTGGAAAATCAAACCACAGTCAATAACGCAGAGTATTCTGGGACCATCGGAATGCGGAGTGGATTGAGTTGAAGGAAGTTCGACGAACACTGCATTGGGAAACATTTTCCATAAGACATTTCACAGACTTCAGATGCAGTTGTGTTTAACGATTTTCCCCTATCCGTTTCAGACCACGCGCGTCCTAAAACTTAGTAAGTCTGAGGCCGCGCTGAGCAAGGGTCGCAACCCAAATCCTCTCATGACTATTTTCTAGAAGACGCGCTAGTTTGACGCAAACGCAGATGCTGACATTAGAGATAATGACACTACTTAGCACCATGAGGAAGAAAAGCGTGCAAAATGATCCACCAACGAAAATATTGACGTTGTCGGGATATTCCAAGAAGAAACTAACTAAGGCGCGAATGCCGCAACCTTCATCATCAGGATGGTTTCACTTCTGATGATCGATTTCCAGCATGCGGACTATCCTTTACAGGGATTACCTTCCAAACGAATTGATTAAGATGAAGAACTTTACCTCGTGTGATATCAGGATCCTTTGTGATCTTTACCATCCTCTTCGTATAATTGTAGCAAATACTCGCTCTTGCCTTGATAAAAAGGCAAAATGATCTGCAACAAAACATGTTGATCTCAGTTATGGGCGCTTGCCATGTTCCTGAACACCAGAATCATGCCATTTGGAATCCCCAGCTCAAGTCGTATGATAGAACGTGCCGCCTCATCAGAATGATATCCTCCGGGTCCGGAAAGATAAATAGAGTTTATGACAGAATTGATTATGCCTCGCAAGATAAGCATATTGTTGCCGCATGGATTTTTGCTACCAAAGCATACATGACATGTGAAATACGAGGGGTATTGAAAATGAAACCGAACTTTTGGAATAGCGGGCCAACCAGCAGTGGTAGCGTGCTGCGGCTACTGATCGTATGTGGAGGCTTGTGTAGACAACGAATAAGCATTTGCCAAATTTCGCTCTGAATATTGGTTTGGGAGTTACAGCTGCTGAACTGAGCATGTGCATAAGCTGTTCGTCGGATTACTGCCAAAGAAACAATGAAAGATCTAGAAGAACAGTGTTTCCGTGCGGGAAATTTTGCTACAAACATTGTGAAGCCTTAACAGAGACATTTCTATTGCTCAGCCAAGCATACGGAGAGGTTTAGGGGTAGCACGCAGTACCGTAAGTGGTTTAAGTGTTTGGAACACGGCAGAATGTCGGTTGGTGACGGTTGCAAGCCTGGAAAACCTTCCACATCAAAAGAGAATGACTATGTGGAGAGTTCATGCTGTTTTACTTTGAAATCGTCTGTTAACTGTTCGAGAATTTGCTGACGAAGTGGGAATCAGTATAGGGTCCTGCCATCCATTTCTGGCTCGTTTGATGGATGCTGTACGCAGGAAGAGGTCTGCACGGTTGGAAAACCAGACAGAGGCTTGAGCAGCGCTTCGTGTCCCAGCTTTCTAGAAACGTATCATACCCCCGGTATGCCCTGTCCATCGTATTCTCCGGAACTGGCCCCTGCAGAATTTTGCACGTTTCCTAAACCTAAAAATGGTTGAAAAAACGTCGCTTCCAAACCATAGAGAAGAGTCGGAACAATGCGACAAGAGACCCGCGCCTATCCAAAAAAGGCATTCCAGGAGACTTATCAGAAATGAAAGCACCGTTGGGAAGAGTGAACTGCTAGTAGAGGGAAGTATCTTGAGTGGGAGAAAGTGTTTAAAATGTTGTGCAACGAACAACAAAGATGTTATAGCAAAGGTTCGGTTTCTTTTGTACAGCTTCGTTTTGTAGGCTTCATGATGATGCCGAACAATGGGTCACCGTATTTCTCAGTAAGTAAAAGGCATTTGCTGACGCCTCAAGAAAGCTTGCACCTATACCGCTAGATGACTTTCTTTCTTGCAGTGAAAGCGTGGTTCTTACCATAAGATGCTAACATCTTTAACAAAAAGCGAGAAACACACATTCTCAGTACAGGTTAATCTTGAGCGGCGCACTGGGTCAATGGTTTTTCTTGGTGTACATGGAAGAGAAGTTCGATGGTAAAAGCTACAGAAATGTTATTGCTTGGCCGAGAATGTATGGAGCACACGTACTTTGATGGAATTAATGTTAAAGATGCGCTACGCTAAATCCAAGCAGACTGTTCGTTGAAGACCCGGTGTGCTAAGTGGAAATTGTTGGAGATTTGTGAGAGACAATGAATGCCCGCGAAAAACTGGAGGAATAGACAAGAAGCAAATGATTAGGAGACTGAATCTAACGGATCCAGATTAGGTAAACTGGGTCCAAATAGGCCAGCAGCCTGTCGCACTAGTGAAATGAGTTCTGGTCGCAGACGAGCAGAACAAGACACTAGCAACCAGTCGCGCTGCATATTGTTCCACGGGCATCCACAGTCTGAATAGAGAGATGAATATCAAAGTCCGCAAAAACTCGTGGGCACGGAAACCGAGTGGGTTATTCCCAAAACGACGAAACAGCCAGCAGTGGTAGTCGGAACACGTTCTTCAAACGGCCCGAGTGACCCTAATTCGATCCGATCGTACTGTGCTGACAAAGGAATAAATGGTGAACTCGGTACTGACATGAACACCGGCCAAGTAATGTACATATGTCGCCGTGTCGAGCAAAGTTGCGTCATAATGTTTCCGTACGGAAATTAAACACTTCGGACACACAATGGAGTGACCGTAATTGCGACAAAGCAATGAAACCTGCGAAATGTGCATGGTCAAAACAAAGCGCAACCGAAAAACCGGTCGGAGCCACCAGAAAGGAAAAATGCCAAACGATGTAAAACTCCTAGCTACGCAGGAAAGACATACACACAGATAGACGCACTTGTATTTAAATTTATCCAGTGCGACGGATAAGTGGATTGGTTGTTTAGTGCACCGATACGGAATCCGATCGTCTTGAGGAAGTAAGTCCACGTCATGGAAGATAAAACAATCGAATTGCGCCAGCCGATCGGACTCGAGGAAGCCAACGTTAAACAAAGCGGCACGGTTGAAAATCGTTTTGCCGACCTAGAGACAGACAGAAAGCACGCGAGTTAGCAACTGTGCACCATGTTCGAGTGAAAGAGGAATAGCAAAGATAATGAAACAATGGAACAGAACAATATAAAAAACAGTAAACACCGTAGCCGATCAGCTGTGTTAGCGGTACCAGTTCAACCTCCGGAAGAATGAATGCAGAGTTTGTCGGGTTACTTTGATCCATCTTGGCTCAGTAACCGACAAACAAATATGTCCATAAAGTTTGCTTACTTTAGCATGGCAACCGAAAGATAATGCCTGTCGTACTACCTCATGCCCTATAAATACCATAGCATAGCCGACTGAGCATTATGAGGAAAATAGTGTTGCGGTGAAAATTGTTTCTGAATGTAATAGCTAATCTTTTTATATCTTAACAGTGGACCCACCCAAAAATAGACGGTAGTCTTAAGGAAGGTCTGTGGATAAAGTTAATAAAAGCAATTCGAAGGACGTTCCACGTAAAAGTAAGACGTATAGTGTTCATCCAGCTGACATAACAGCTCGGCGCTCCCTGCAAATGAAAAATGACTAATTTAATATCATTTCTATATTTTCCCGAAATCGCACAGCTACTCAGATCTTTTATACGTAGTCTCCAAACTGTGTAGCTCGTTGGTCCAAATCACATGCAACAACAGCTATCCATCCATACATCAGGTTATTTGGCAACAATTATAGGCTCGGTTCCTAAACGCTGGTGTTGAAATGCCTGGGCGCGTGGGACTGATTATTTTGTTATAGAGCCACTCATCGTGTTTGCGCTTTCGACAGTCTTCCAACTGACAAACGAAGCGCATCTGCACAATCGGTATGTGGATGACATTTTGAGCGACTTGTTGTCCTCTTTTATTTCCTCGCACCCTAATCTCTGTGAAATATGAGATTGAACAGCAAGGCAGTTTACCGTTTTTTGGACGCGTTCATTAAAAGGCGGATGGATGACACACATCAGCGTACTGTCGCTTGAAAAGCATTTCTCTAGCTTTGCTTCACTTGCATATAAGTGCAGTCTATACCTTTTTATAGGCAACTTCACGCATAGTGCTAACTAGTTTACTTGTTTAAAAATATCAAAGTAACGTGTTATGCATTCAACTTCACACGGGCATCAATTCATTCGCTCCCTAAGGGACTACATGCAAGCACCAACAGTGACGCCCTCATTGGTCATGGGACATTAGCCAATGGGACTCCATGGATGTAATCGCAGGGCTAGATACATGCATCTATGGGGGACAGGTATGCTTTTGAGTAGGTTTCCACACTGGTCTAACGGAAGGCAGACAGGGATGAGAGTGTCAGTGGTAGAGGTAACCAACAGTACGCCTGACTGTAGCTGATCAACTTAGGATGAGGTGTTTGAACGTTCGTCCTCAGCACCGCTTTAACAGATCTGTTACCGGAATGAGTTACAATTGGTTCCTTTTCTGACCTGGCCGGTAGCCGGTGTCCCTGTGCCAACTTTCTAGCCCTTGCCCGAGCAGTCCGTAACATATAGAGAGCACAATATGTGATCGGTCCAAATTGCAAAGCAACAGTGGCACATTTATGCCCCAGGTTAGTATTGCCTCTGGTCGAAACAATATACAGCCTGAAGATAGTAATAATAGTTTTAATAATAATGGGCGTTTCTCAGCAAGTGAAAATCCGTGACAATATTTGGCAGAGAATTTACACCCACAGGTGATGTCTTGCACACGCAAGAGCAATATCGAGTTATCTTCCTATACTTCTCTGCATTTCTGACATGATATTTGCTCCAGACGTTTGTCTTATGCGATGGTGGATGGCAAATTTTCAGTTTGAGTATGTCGTACGCACTGAGGACTGATTACATTGAGTGGATTGGTGATATTAAACCCATTAGTCGTTATCTGGGCTTTCATTGAATGGGTGTTCAAATGACCTTACCCACAAAAAATGGCGACAGAATTTTGTCCAGGTAGCGGTAGTTTCCCAACTTACTGCGAAAGGATTGCACCGACTCACAGGACCTGATGGTGAATGATAACCGATTCCACAGTGAAGCATACATGGTGAGACGAAAGTTAGACCTCAAATTGGTCTTGCCTCGTGATATCATCAGATTAAGGTCTTGTTACCTAGATCTCGCGTGTAATTGTGCTTCACTGTTAAGGTGAATCGACTGCACTGGGTATTGACATTAATCAGATTGCGCAGCAGTCTCCAGTTATGGTTTAGTCTTCGCAGCCAAAGCGGATGGAAATGAAGTTGCTGGCATTGCTTCCAAGAGTTTAGGATAGAATTTTTTCCCAATTTGTGCTTAGTAAATGACCGTTGAAGGCTTTCTATCGAGGTTCTGTTTGAATTTCTCATATTGCCTCAGATTACACTGCGATACTCCAAAATGGAACAAATAAGAATTTTAAATAGTTTGACTGTAGCTATGATTGTATGCATGTTATGAGAGATGTTAGCGAAGGATTGTTTGGTTTGATGTATCTGGTACTCAATATGTTTTAAGAACATAAAGGTACAATAATATCTGATTCTATGGTCACTCGTAGACGGTTGTACACAGGTGCCTTCGTGGTTACGTGTTACAGGTACTTCAGTTGGCAAGCGACCGCGACATATGATACTTGACTGTCGTGCTTAAAACGTCATAACACACTTGTCGCACCAAGTCGCAACCGAATTAATGTATTCTTGAATGGGTGGTCTTATATTCTGTAGCTCAACTCCTCGGTATTGTGGACAACTGTTGTGTTATCAACTAATAAATACGGCACGCCATGTTGGTTAACCGAACTGCTATCATTTACACAAAGAAGGGAAATTATTGTACCGAGCGCACCTCCTTGTTTAACCCACTGGTGATTGGACGCGGGGAAGAGGAATAGTCGCGGGACGGTTCATGTAGGATGATAGGCAACCCATTAATATGCTGCGGAACTCAAAGAAATCTATCTGAATCGGTAACCGCTTGTGAGGCACCCAATCGATTGATTTCTGAGTGAGCAAGCATAGAATTAATATGACAACTTTTGAGTCAATGGAGTCCGGTATGTAGTTCAGGCAATGTAGCTACGAGGATGTGTACGATCGTCAGTCAAGGAAAGCGTTTTAGGACCTGTCTATCAGCTACATTAATTTGCTAAACTCACAATTTTTTACCAATTTCACGAATAATCCGACTAATATAGGAGTGTTTTGGCTTTTACTGTTATTGTCAATCTTCTGTTCTGCGTAGCCTTTTTTGCCAGAGCTGATGAACGAAGTTTCCCACTGATCTGCAAAGTACATGGATCCCAGTGAAACGGTAAACATAGACAAAAGCAGCAGTGATAGGCTCTCTCAGTTTCATGGCGGATGGAGGGATGCCATCAGGTTCGAGAACTGAGCGCGGTTGAGTAGAATATGTTCTTGGCGGATTTTGCGCACAGCAAAAGCACGTTAGTTGGAGCCTTGGTGTAATTATAGCCTTAGTGTTAAGAGTTACGTAGGTGGAGAAGAAAGAGCTAAATGCGTCTGGATGTCGTCCACCAGTTCAGTGACCAATGGAAAATGTTTGTTGGTTCTTCGACGGAGAAATCTGATCAGCTCTTTGTTTTACATCTCATTCATAGGGTTGCTTGAGCATCATGTGTTTTCCTCATCAATTGTAAGCACTTGATTTCAGAGATAAGTCGGTGCATCTCTGGAATCATTGTAAAATATTCTATCCTTTTCAGAGCGCGATCGGTTTGCTGGATTTCTGACTCATCGATCGTGCGACTGTATCTTTTTAAACGTTGCTGATTCGTTTTTCTTGTGCAACAACGTGGGTTATACCTTGCTAAAATTAACGATAAAAGAGCTCCATGGGTGTGCATACATGGGTGGAGAGAAAGAAGGCCTCCCAATAGCAGGACCAGATTAGTTGATGGAAAGGTTTCCTGTTAATACTGCAGGTGGTGTAGCAGGAAATACGTGCTTGTTTGGTGGCCATTTTAAAGGTGAAGGTTAAGAGTACCATGTGGCCGTCGCTACCAGGGTTGTTCTCGGAAACCTCTCTCTGTACGTTCGCCATACCTAATATAAGTATCAGGTCTAATGTGTTCGTCAACCTAGGTGGTATATTAACCCATTGTGATCAACCAAAGCGGAGTAAATAAATGAACGCTCTGTTTATGGACAAGAAGGTCTGGGAAGGTCACTGCATCTTCGATAGGTTTAAATTACGTACAAATATCTTTTGTTTGTGCTTCAATTCTGATGCAAAACCGAAAGCTGTGGTGATACGGTACAACATTCATGGTTGGTGAATTTGGCGGGTTGCGGATAGATGCAAGGAAACCGAGGTTTCTGAGACGGGAAACCATAGAGAATCAGGGACATTTGCCAGCTGTGGATGTTCAAACCGTTCAGCTGTAAATACGTGATGGAGTTACCTGAGGAACCCTCCACATTTCTTTTACAGCAATCATTAGGAAAATGGTGTTAAAAGGCGGTAATCGGATTGCAGTCTACTGTATCAGCGGGGTACCACGCATCGGTAACGAGGATTGATTGTAGCTCGTTTAAATGTGGAAGCATGCTTAGGAAATATCGTTTGTTGATAATCCATCTGGTGTAAATCAGAACCAATGAAAATGTACTATAAATAGTGGAATAAGCATTCAGGTCACTTTTGTTTGAGTCATAGTTATCGCGAAATTTTTGCGCGGTAAATATGTGTGGGAGAAGTGGGAACGAGTCCATTGCTAATAACCATGCAGGTATGGGAAGTGCCGTCCGTGATCGCCAGTATATGTTGTAAAATGATAGGGTTAATGTATCAAGGATACTTTGCGGTTGACTTGCCGCTGAGCTTATCTACTCATGTGTAAAAATGGCAGAAATAATGGGTGCATATATTTGGTATCTGCTGCGTACGTAGGGAGTCTGAATGGCCGCGGTTCCATTCATATATATATATATATATATATATATATATATCTGGAGAGCCTATGGCGCGCTGAGGTTGGTGGCGGCATGTCCTG